GTAGTTGTTGTGGTTTAGGCCGATCTGGCAACGAAACTCCACACAGCCGCTCTCTCACTGCAGTAAAGTGGAGAGGAGAAAAATATAATAAAAGGACTGAGGGTCGAGACAAGAACAGAGGGAGCACCCACCAACAGCCATGGTCCTGGGCAAAACAGACTCAACTTTCTGAAAGCAAAACAATTTATTAACAGTTACTTAAAGAATAAAGACAAGCAAAACCAGTTACTTAAAAGAATAAAAAGAAAGCAAGGCCAGATCTTAAAACAACATCTCTCCACCCCCCTTTCCTTTTCTTCCCGGCTCTACCTCCTCCCCCCAGCGGCGCAGGGAGCAGGGAATGGGGGAGTGCAGGTCAGTTCATTCCATGTTGTTACTGCCGCTCCTCTCTTAAAGGAAGAGGAGTCCTTACACCATTTTCCCTTGCTCCAGTGGATCTCCTACTCATGAGGAAAGTCCACAGACTTCTCCAGCGTGAGTCCTACCCCCAGGATGCAATCCTTCCCCATTGGATTGCTATGGTGCGGGCTTTACCACAGTCTCGAATTCTTAGGGAGCTGTTGCCACTAGCTCAGGTGTGGGTTGTCATATAGACTTTAAATGCATCTCTACCTGTGCCCATGCTTCACAACTGTCCTCAGGCTCAGGCATCTCCTTTAAACAAAACACCTCCCCATTGACAGGGGTTGTCCCATGGACTTTAGGTGCGTACCGTACTCAGGCTCTGGCATCTCTTCTCTGACATGGGTTGTCCCACAAACTCTAGATGCGTACCGTACTCAGGCCCAGGCATCTCTTCTCAACGTGAGTTCCCATGGGCTGCGAGTGGGTCTCTGCTCCCCCGGGACCGCCTTTGGCTGCAAGGGGGCCGCCTGCCGTCTCGCCACCGGTTGCAGGGGAAACTCAGCTCCGGCACACCTTGTCCCGTTTCATCTTCACTGACCTGGTTTCTATGTGGCCCTTTCTCTCAGATCTCAGCCCTCTCCGGGTGAACTTGGCCCAGCGGGCACCCTGGGAGTGGGGCGCTCCCCGAGTTCCCCAAGCGGCTCCGCCGCCACCATCCTCAGTGGGTGGCACTGACGTGGCCTGGGCCACTGCCCGGCCAGGTGCCGGGGAGTGGGGGCAGTGCCCCCCTCCCCTCTCCTTGCTCCTGGGCAAAGGCACACCTTTCCAGGTCCTTTGTCCTGATGTAAATAGGGCAATTCGCAGAGGTGCCGATTGGCTCAAGCCCCGAGGGGGATGGGAGTCTGGTCTGGTGGCTAGTTCCTGCCACCAGAACCTCCTCCCCCACATCAAACCGTGACAGTTGTCTTCTGAGGATGCATTTTCTTTTTCCAAAATACAGGGTCTGCCAATGATGGATAGTTGAAATTCAGAGAAGCTATTGGAAGGATGTCAGTAGTGGTATTTGCAATGCTGTGGGTGCTGAGGTGTAAGCTGGCCCCATGGGACAGGTGAAGAAGGCTTTTGTAAAGCAGATTGTATGACTTTAACAGAGTTTAAAGATATTTAGGAAACATATAAATGGATTATTAGACCAGCAGTTCCTAAACTAAAATAACAAGATTCGAACAGAACTAGGTTAATTCTGTGTGAGATACACTGCACTTGCATGAAACTTGATGGTGGTGACTTGATGGTGAATCTCTGGGTCTTTGAGGAAACCCAGATAAGATTAGACTAGAAGAGCACAAAGGCAGCTTGAAGCCACTGTAGCTTGTGCCTCTCCGTGACTGTGAGGAGTGGGCTCTTTCGTATTGGGGATGGAAAAAGAACTTCAGTTTTTGTCAGAGGATATAACAGCTATATCGTATTTTCAGATGTTTGATCTCTTCACTTGGACTAGAATAATTGTTTGGGTTCTTAATATTGAGTGTTGTGAAAACATTTTTTGAAAAGCTTAGGTTTTGTGAAGAGCAAATCATTGAAAACAGCATGATGATTTTTACAATTAAATTAAGAAAATCACTGACTTTAATGCATGTGACAGATAAAATTCCCTGATTTTAGTGAAGCTTTGACAATGATAAGATGTTAGTTGAGAAAAAACTGATTGCCTTAGCTGTGAAAACAAAACATGGATTAAAATCTTTCTAAAGAGTCTAAGAAAAAGAAATTTATGTGTGTTTAATGTATCCATTAATCATCTAGGAGGAAGAAAAACAGTTTAATGGTATGAATTACACATTCAACATGTACTTGGTTAGGTGTTGAAAATAAAGGTGAGAAGTAGCACAGGATAGAAATTGCAAATATGCATTTGAATTTTAAGATGGCTTTGGGGAGAGTCATCTTTGGGGCTTGGCCAGTCCTGAATTCTGGGAGCTGCTTTCTGTGGTAGTATGGAAGTGTTGCAACATGATTAGCAGAAACACAGCGTTACGTTCAAATATTGCTATATGTTTTGACATGGAAAGAGAATTCCAGTTCTAAAAGGTGGATTTCAATTTTGATGTGTCAAGTACTTAATTTAGAATTTATTTTCATGACTAGATGACTAGATAGTTTTCGAATTAGATGATGTTAAGTCTGCTAAAGAGACTAAATAAAAGAGTAGAAGCAGTATGATATGACTTTTAAAACTAACCAGCAAAGCAGAGCATGTGCAAAAACTTTAGTGAAATATTTGCCAGCAGCTCGCAGATCCAATTAATTACTCATATGAAAAATTGTCAATACTTTTGAATAATAAATCCATTGGAAGCTTCTGCAATTTGATCACAGGCAATTTGCAAAAAGAAAAAGAGCTGAAATCTCATTGGTGCAATTTTCTTTACAAATGACTCATTCGATCCTCGTGTAGACAACTAACTAATACAGGACACACAAAAATGTTTTGGAATACATGCAAGAAGCAATGCAAACATTCAGCAGAGAGAAACTTATGCCAAGTTTTGGAACAAGGTGAACAGTACCCGAACTGGGGCCACACAGAGCTTACACCTGACTTCCAGCCAACATCAGTTTCTTACCTCGGGCGAGTCCTCACTGATGTGACCAGGCAGAAGATGCTTAGGATGGCTTTTGAATTTTGGCTTTTGTCATTTCCCTCTTTTTGAAGACCAAGCCATGCACTAAAAACAAATTTTAGTAGAAGCATCGTCTCTAGATATGTTTCCTCCTTAGCACAATATAAAAAAAAAGCACAGTTATGTGAAAATCTGTTTGTATATTAAATCTGATTTATCTTGAAATTGGACAGATGAATTTTGGTTGTTGTCAGAGTAATTCTCTGATTGGTCTTAAACTTTTGGTTATATCTAACATATCAAAGCCACATCTTGTTAGGTCACCTGTCTGTGGACCACATGGTTACTCTGAATTGTCACTTTGCTGATTTGGACATGCCTGCTCTTAGGCTCTGACAGACTTATTTAAAAAAAACACAAACAAAAAAGCCCCAAAACAACCAAACAAAAAACCCTCAACCAAACCCCCAAACAAAAAAAACAAACAAAAACCCCAATGGTGAGTGTAAATCTTGGAGGGAAAAAAACCCAAACATACCTCAAACTCTCAAAAGAAAGGCAGGCAGACAGAGCCAGGGAGGCTGGTAATAGGAAACATGGCAAAGAAAAGTAATCAACTGAGACAAATATTGTTGCGGTCTGTCAGCTCATATAGAAATAGTTATGATTAGTGTTTTGGATACTCCTGAGCACAGAGAATAAAATCAGACATAGGAATCTTTCCCGTCACAGACAGATGCTTTTCCTATGCTGAATTGACACTTAGTTGCATAAGAACAAAAATATTGCTATTTAATTTCTTTCAGATACACAAGATTCTTGGAGTCCTGTTTTAGGTGGAACTAGATGTGTTTCAATAGAATTTCTTCTGAAAGACAAAGACTATCTTCTTAAGACAAAGACTTAGATGGAAATTCAACGAAAATTATAGCAATTGTCTTGTGTAGCTTGTAAAGTCCTATGGCTTGAAGCCTATTATCGTTGCATGTATCTGCAGGTGGCCAGAACAAGGAGCATCAATCTGTGCAAAAAGACTTTCTAAAGCAGAGAGCTTTCTACCAGGTTTCATTTAAAAAACAGGGGAAAAATGTGTGTGTATGTGTGGACAAATGGGAAGGGACTTGTATGAAGCTGGTTTGGGGTGCTTCAGGTTTATAAAAATCTAATCTATTTTAAAAGACATGATCAAGAAAATGACATTTGTTTGCCTACCATAGTGGGTCATCCCATCTATCAAGGCAGACTGAGGTGACAGAGCAAAGAACAAAAGAAAAAGATGAAAATATCTTTAAAAGATTGAGGTCAGTCTGTCCTGGAGCTACCCATCTACTCTGGTTACTTGTCAGTGATTTAAACATTAAAGTTTTCTCTAACTTACCAACTATTTGTACGGCCTTGGGAGTCCTAATAAGCGTGGAGTGGTATATCCCTGTCCTGGTTTTAGCTGGGACCAGGATTAGTGGCCACGCTGACACCAGGTCAGTGAAGATGGAATGGGACGAGATGTGCTGGTGCTCAGTTTCCCCTGCAACTGGTGGTGAGACGGCAAGCGGCCCCCTTGCGGCCATGGTGGTCCCAGTGGAGCAGAGACCCACTTGCAGCCCATGGAGAACCCACGTCAGAGAAGAGATGCCTGGGCCTGAGGACGGTACGTATATAGAATCCATGGGACGACCCATGTCAGTGAGAAGGTGTTTTGTTTAAAGGAGATGCCTGAGCCTGAGGACAGTCATGAAGCATGGGCACAGGTAGAGACGCGCAGTCTGCATAGAGACGCATTTAAAGTCTATATGACGACCTACGCCAGAGCGAGTGGCAGGAACTCCCTTAGAATCCGAGACTGTGGTAAAGCCCACACCGGAGCAATCCGATGGGTAAGGATTGCATCCTCTGGGTAGGGCTCACGCTGGGGAAGTTTGTAGATTTTCCTCGTGAGTAGGGGATCCACTGGAGCAAGGGAAACCTATGCTGTGCCCCATGCCACTGCCCGAAACACTATCTTGGGCCTCGAAAAGCAAATCTTGTGGCGGCATGGCACCCCAGAAAGAATTGAGTCAGACAACGGGACTCATTTCCGTAATATCTTATAGACACTTGGCCAAAGAACATGGCATTGAGTGGGTATATCACATCCCCTGTCATGCACCAGCTTCTGGGAAGATTGAACGATATAATAGACTGCTAAAAACCACACTGAAAGCAATGAGTGGTGGAACTTTCAAACATTGGGATACACATTTAGCAGAAGCCACCTGATTAGTCAATACTAGAAGATGTGCTAATCGAGCTGGTCCTGCCCAATCAGAACTTTTTGGGACAAGGGGTCCATGACTCTCCTTACGATTTGTACCTGAACTTAAGATTGAGGGCCAAACGGGCCAATTAGTATTCCATATCATGCAGCGTCGTGCCCAGTATAAGAGTGAGGGTCAGCCGGAAAGAAGGGCTTTTGCCCTTCCAGGACTCTCACTTTCGGGTGCTCAGTGTTTTCTCTCTCTCTCTCGCTCTCTGTCTCGGGGCCTCCCATTCATCCGGGATCGCGGTATCAAGTTTTATCTGTTTTGGGATTGCAGTTTTGGGACGAGACGGGCCTCGGTCAAGGGGTGGTGAGCAATTACACCGTACATCACTCGTTTGCATATGTTTATCCTTGTACATATCTGTACATATATATTGGTAGCGGTAGTAGTAAATTGTTCTTATCTCAACTCACAGATCTCTTTTCTTTTTCTTCTTTGATTCTCTCCCTCATCCCTGGGGGTGGGGGAGTGAGCGACTGTGTAGGGTTTGGTTGCCAGAGCGGCCTAACCCACGACAAAATATATATTCACATATTATTATTATTGTTGTTATTAAATTGTTCTCGTCTCAACCCACGAGTCTCCTTCCTTTTTCCCCTTTAATTCTCTTTCCCCATCCCCTGGGGATAAACCAGGACAGCATCTTTTCATTCTTAACAGAATTTCACTGATTTGTAAAGCGTATGTGCAAGTTAATAAAGGGGAAAAGAAAAAACTTTGGACATGTGTATAACTGTGCATTGCTCAAACAGTACTGTAGGAACTGAAATCCCCTTCTTGGTAACAGTTCTTATGCTGCCTCCTTTCCCTTTTTTCCCCTTTGAAGATTACAAACATCTGTTGGGAGAAGGATTCTCTGCACACTTGCGAAGTGCTTCATGCCCAAAGCAGTTCCTTAAAGAGGGAGTAACAATCAAATCCCTGATTTAACCAGGATAATATTTTTTGTTCTTCTTCCCTTTATGTAAAATTATAACACTCCTGTGAGTTAGAACAGTATTATGTGGATAACTTGTGCAGACATGGTTAATAGAACAGAAGCTTGTAATCTGATGCATGCGAGAGCAAGCTATTAGTCTTTAGAAATGTTGGTTTGAGTCCCCCTTGCTGCTATTTTCACTTTTCTCTTTCCTGAGAGGGGATTACTAAGAAAGAGAAGTAAACACAGTCCTGATTTTTTTTTTTTTTTAATCCCTATTGGAAGAAGCTAGTGAGAAATATAGTGGAAGGTTAAATCTTATTTTTGTCTATTGAGTTAAATGGAGTGACAAAGTCAAAACTGACAAAAGAGAACTTGCTTTGTAGTGGTTTTGCAATGTGCATATGGAATGCCATTGCAACGTGCCAGTTGGTTGGACTTTGTAGTATTGAGAGCTCAAAATATACAAGTTTGTATGTGCTACAAATGCCAGGAGCTGGTAACTTCTTGCTCACTAGATAAAATTTTGGAATATTTGAAAGTTCAAGATGCAAGCTATCTGCTGCTCAACTGAAAAGGAAAAAATAGTAGGGGGATGAAATTTTTCCTTACTGGTTATTTTACAGTGAAGTTTATTCCTCTAATAGCTGCTGGTACAAACCGCTGCTGACAGAGGCAGAATAGCTAGCTAACTAGTCATTGCCCAACTAGATTGTTCCATCAGTGCCTAATATTTCTGTTTAAATAAAATGTACATGGTAGCTGCATACTTGTATGTATTGTGAGATATTTCTTCAGTTCTCAGAGTGGGGAAAAAAAACTCCCAACAATTTATGCCAGCAGAATTTTTCAACAGACTTCAAAATCTGGTCAACCTAGCAGTGAATACAAGCCTTGTGATACTCTTAACTGAGTTAAACCACTTCTTGTTGACCCTGAGCTTGGGAAAAGGTTACTTTATACCTGTTTCTTGCACTGTCTACAGGGATTGTTTCAAAAGGGTGATGGGGAACGCGGTTAGACATTAGAAAAAGACTGTTTATTTCTTCCTAGAACCTGTTAGATCTGTTTTGTGTCAGTAGGATAAGCAGACAACTTTCATTTGTGTAAGACAGGCATGTGGTAAGATGGCCTGTAAAAGGAAAAATGTGTAATTAACTGTCTGTAAAAAACTGGGCATAGTCTAATGTATTGTCAGCATTAGCACAGTTTTCTCACTATCTGCCAATACTTGAAGTAGAGCTGAGTGGATATACTCCTTACCCCAAATAGGATTAGGGGATTGTGCAAGACACTTATTTAGTAAGTGTCATGTCGAAACACCTTTGTTGATAAAATTGTCCAGATGAGGATTACTGAATTGGAAAGACTGGCAGCTTTTTCCTTTATGTGAGTGTAAGGCTTTGTACTTAAGTGTGGGTCTAACTACTGGCAGAGAAATTGGGAATATTGTCTTTTGAAAATGGTTTTCTGAATAGTTGCTGATATTCTTAAGTAAATGAACTAATTGTGCATTTACTTAAACATTTCTCTGCAGTAATCACAGAAGCGCTCAATTTCAGAGTCCTCAAAGTTTTCAGCTCCCACTGGTCTTGCAAGTTGTAGAACACTGGAACAGGTTGCCCAGAGAGGTGGTGGATGCTCCATCCCTGGAGACGTTCAAGGCCAGGTTGGACGAGGCCTTGAGCAACCTGATCTAGTTGGAGATATCCCTGTTCCTTGTAGGGGGGTTGGACTAGATGACCTTTGAAGGTCCCTTCTAGCCCTAACCATTCTATGATTCTATGATAAGTTGTATTCACGCGAGTCTAGCGCTTGAGAAGAGAGTGGGTGCTATGGAAACGTTCATTGCTGAATGCAGAGAAAATTGACTTTAAAGAATATGATGCTTCAGCTTAAGCATAGGACTAGTGCTTTATTAAACCATGTCCTCATAGCACTGAAATTCTAGGAATATTTCCCTGACAAGCACGTGGAGCTCTCTGGCTTAGTCTATGCAGACATGCTGAGCTGCAGCTCTGTCTGGCAGCTATTCCCCTCCAGATCAATGGAATGGGTAACACGGATGTCAGTGGAAACTTTGAGTGAGACTTGGAGAATCCAGAGAACTTGAGGATAGAAAGGACTTGCTGGCTAATCCAGTGGTGGTTTTACTTGCTTTGATGTGGGAGTGTGCATAATGTTTTGCTGGGCCTCCTGTTTTTCTTGAAGGGATCATTCCATAATTCAGTAGTTATATGGGGAAAATTCCCTTATCGTTCACCCTCTGCCAGGCTTATTGTGGCGCCATGAGATGCTCTTTCTTCTGGTTTATCCCCTTCTGCCGCCATTTCTAACACTTTAATTTCTACACGGTGTAATGCTCTGCTGTTCCATATGAACTTAGCTGTTTCCTAGTCTTGTGTTTCACTAAGGCTGTTCATTTCCCTGTCACACTCCTGCACTTTGCTTAAATATTTCTTAGTATTCATGTGTGTCCTTAAAAAGACCTTATATGGAGACCTGACATCAAGCTTGTTTACTGAGCTCCGGTGTTCAGTAATTCACTTATGACATCATGCACTTGACAAAATATTGCCAAGCAGAATTTACTATGTAAAACGTGCTCTCTCTTGCAAGTGACAGTGTAAGACAAATGATCCTTTTATTTACTGTGTGTTACGTTCCAGTTTTCTACGAATTGAAGAAACTGTACCTTCTATCAGGTGGGCTCTGCTTCCTAGGCTAAGTTGCCTTTGTGCAGGGAAAGGAATAGAGACACAAGGTGAAATGGTTGTTGGTGTCAAGTCCTGCAAGGCAATCTGTCCTAGACTTGCTGCTTGTCTGGGATTGGAAATCCTGGCTAAAAGTACTGAGTGGGTTCGCTTCCAATCATTTCTTGTAGGAATTGTTTGTACTTTGATTATTTTTCCAGGTAATATTAAAAAATGCAGACTTAGAGTAGCATGTTGTGATTAATTGTAATCAGTCTTATGGCAACTTTTTGAAGAAAGTACAGCATCTTTGCTTTCATCTTTATCATAAACCATGTGAAATTTTTGGCAAAACTAAATTTTAAGAAAGCTAAACAGCCCTTAAATTACCTTGTTTTAACACCTTTTAGAGATGTCCAGATGTTCTGTATGTGTTGGAAACTGACAGTAGAGTTTAGACCTCAGCTGAGACCTGAAACTGGTTTCATGTTACTGCTTAAGGCATTCTTCTGCTTGGTAGCAATATATTGCCCTGGTGGAAATAATTAAAGCTTATGCTTTTTCCTATTAAAATGAAGCCTCATTCCTCACGTCAGAAGTGATCTGTGAGGTAGGTATTGATGGAATGAAAGGCATGGATCTTTGCAAAGCTCTTCTTTTGATGTCAGACTGTCATTTTGGAAAGAATCAAAACAAGACTTTGCACTTATCAACTCTATTTCATGACACTACAGTTTCACTGGATACTATTCCTAATATTAATTTGAAAAATATGTCCTGATAGCCATTAGCTCCTGCTGGGATAATTTAGCCTTTCCTTCATTAGTGAAAGGAAGAGGTTTTGGGGGTTGTCTGTATTGTTTTATAAATGTATTTTCTTCTGATACTTCTGCATTCTTGGAACTAGTGAATACTGGTTTGGTTTTTTTTTTAATTCAAAATATATTTATTTCTGAAATGCTGGCTCATTTGATCCCAAAGAAGCCTTGGCTGTGCTGCTTGGCTGGTTTGATAGACAGGATGTCCTCCTGGCTTTAGGAAAACATTGTTTGCATGCTGAGGAATCATTGGGAAACATTTCCATTGTCAACTTGAGTGTTTGAATGGGTTTTAAGATATTTTCTTTTGATGTCTTTTTTTTTTTTTAAGTAGTCTAGAGACAGCAGTATTGCCAAAGAATTTTCACTGGGATTGCACAATGTTCAAGTTGGATCAATACTTTTGTCCCAGTTGTACTTCTGGCAATACTTCATGTGCTAAGCACAGCATTTTCAATCATGTACCGCATACTTATCTACGTCTGATGAAAATGCATTCAAATTTTGTAATCTTCAGCTTGGAACAAGGCATCTTAATGTTACTTTGGGCTAAAATTTTCCTAAAACCAAGAATGCCAGTAGTCAACAACACCTTTAAATGCTATAGCAATTCCAAAGTAAACTTAAAGAATTGTGTTTTTTCTTTCTCTCACTAATTAGGCTTCTGAATTCTTTCAGTTTGCAATAGGTTCCCTTCAGGTTATTGTAGGAAACATCATCTTACGGACAACCGGAATAGCCCCAAAGTCAGTGGATAAAATATTGGCATAGGAGCCAGGAATTCCTTATGCTGGATCTTGTGCTCTGTAGAACAGCGTGCTCTGTAGAACAGCATGCTCTGCTTTCAGGTCTCATGTGACATGTTTGTCTGACTGACACAGAGCTCTTCAAAATGCTTATTGAGTTGGCTCTTATAGCTAACTCTTGCCCAGAAGTTTTAACTGATGAAAATTCAGAGTGCTGAAGTGGAGAAGGGATGTCTAGCTAAAATGTAATCTTAATGTTTAGTGATTTTAAATATCTGAAGATAACACATTGTCAATATAGTTTTTTCTATTTAAGAACTGAATTGAAAAATATCTGTGTGTGTGTGAAAAGTCATCTTACTCTTTTCAAGATTGCTTATTTAGTATCTCTGAAAGCTATTGGTAGTGCTTTGAATCAACTATAAACCAAGAACTTTAAAACCTGCAGAGGAAACTTACCTGAGCTGCCTTCATGACTCGCAGTCTGAAGAGTAGAAATGTTTCCCCTGACCAGGAATTTCCCTGGCCTCAGGCTCTCTGCCTGACTGAGGCACCCAAACAGGGACGTGCTGGGTATGGTGAGCTATGAAACTTTTTATGAAGATGACCTCGTTTGTATATGGTCAAACTCTTTAGTGAGGAGTGCTGTGCTACGTAGCTAAATGGCACAGAAGCCTGGCTGATGGCCTGTGAAGCAGCACTGTTAATAGGCTTTGTGCATAAAATAGAAAAAATAGTTTAAGTACAGTTTCTTTCATCTCTCCACTTATGACTGAGTTAAAAATGTCTTTTTCATTTTGTCTTCTCCTCTTGATGAAGAGGTGGGTGGGGTTTGTTTCACACCTGTGATGGTTGGCTCCTCGCAGAATCCACCTGTGCTGAAGGCACCTGGACTGTCCCTTCAGTTTGGACCTGCCAGAAGCCTTTACAAGTCGAAGGCAATGTTGACAGTCTTTAAATGAGATAGCCAAGTATGAAGCTATTTCTACAAATATTAGATGAAGTGTCACCTTTTGCAGTTGTCTGGCTAATGAACTACCTTCCTCCCTTTCCCCCTACCCTTCAGTGATAGGTCATCATGGTCTGTATGAATCAATACACGTAACAAACATATACGTATGTATACGTGGTATAAACATCTAGATATGAGTTGCTAGCTACTGCCTTTTGATGATGATCAAATGCAACTAATTGGTTTGGGGTGATTTAATGTGTCATTTGTTCTCGTACACATACTATGTCTATCAGATAAGTAATTATAAAAACATAATATTTACAGTATTACAGTATTTATCAAGAATATGAAACAAGTATACTGCTTTAAAGGACAGCTGACTTACAGCTTTGAGGATGTGTTCTCTTCCTATTCAAACTTCAGTCAAAGGACTAGTAGTTACTCCCAGATGTGGGGATCAACTTAGTGCTGGAACAGGATAGCTGCTGAGTAGTGAAGCCTATTATGTTTGTCAAAAGTTGTTACACGAGTGATGGCTGTTGTGTCTAGATAGCCTCCTTGAAGAAAAAGTATGGGAATGTTTGCGTTCTACCAGTTCAGTTGTGTAATATAAATTAGTATCACTGAAGAACTGAGTGTTGGAAAAGAAAAAATAATGAGACGTCTGCTCTTTTCTCTTCTAGACTATCATTTTACTCTGGCCATTCTTCGTTCTCCATGTACTGCATGCTCTTCCTAGCAGTAAGTATGCTCTTTTCATCTAAATGGCAACAAAAAGCCTGCTATTTGCCTAGGACGAAATGGAAGTATTTATTTGGTGGCTTTGTGCAAGGGACACTGCTTTTGTAGGATGCTTGTAGACCTGAAAGTTTCTCAGTAGTTGTAAGGGAACACCACTGATACTGGAACAAGAAGTAGAATTGTGTTCAATATGCTTAAAAATACTTAATATGGTAGTTGGCCTGTGTGTCTTGTCTAAAATTAACCTGGTGACAGTGGGTTTGGAAAATACGCTGCTACTTAAATTTAATTATATTGAAAGTACTGCAAGCCATGTAAAAACATATAATAAGATATGTCTGCCTTACCAAACATGTAAAGTCTTTTTTTTAAAAAAAAAAAAAAAACAAACACAAAGAAAACCCTGAACTTAAACCCTGATCAAACCTGGGTGGGCCCTTAAGTATGAAACAGCAGATCAACTTGAATTTTTAAATTCCTTTTGATCTTTTGTCTTTTAGAGGCAGAGAGGGAGAGTGAAGGAAGCGAGGGGATAGATCTATCTATGGAAGTAAATACTGATGATAAGATCAGTTCACTAATGCTTCAGCTGGAGCCTAATATATTTCAGTTCAAATTGTTCTAAGTCAGCTAGGGCAAATTATCTTCACTCCTAGGATAAGCTTTGCAAGGCCTGAAAGGTTGATTTGGTTGTTCTCCCCCTGCTAATTTGGAACACAGAAGGTATTAAACAATTTTCTGCAACTTTGTTGTTAATGTAGTTGTAAAATTAAACTCTAGTCATGGGTATAAATTGCTAACAATACATACATGCCAAGATCTTCACAGAGCTCAGATTCAGTTTGCCTTCTCTTCTTGGTTGCACTTTTAGTTTTTTCACTGTCTCTTGCCAATAGTGTAATATCCACAGTGAATGGATAGATTATTCAAAACAAACTAGAAACCCCACACCACATACAGGAAGGGATGGCTTTTCAGTATTACATAGGTCTTTTTTAGCTTTATTTTAAAATAAAACTTTATCAGAAGCTCAAGATACAGGTTGGATCTATGATTGCATTTTTTTATGGCTAAACCTGTTTAGTTCCTCTCCCCTCTCTTACTTGTCTTTATAGATAATGTGATTACAAAGAGTTTATTAAAGTCTTATGTCCTGAATTTGATTAGAATATAGTGCAACTTCCTATCTATCAGCTGTTCTGTCAGCTGCTAGGTTGTTGGTTTTTGTTTTTTAAATAATAAAGTGTCTTTACTTGATCATTATGACTGGCAGTCAGCAAAATTGTATAGGTCCACCTGTGATATGATTCCAAAACCAAAAGCGCTACTTCCATAGTACAGAGCAGCAATTACTGCTACATAGCAACCTGACACTGAGTTGCTCAGTTGTGTTCAGCCATACCTTTCTGGTCCAGCTTCTCCGTGCATGGTTTTGTTGAGCAACATGAGAATGTGATGCTGCCACCTCTCAGAAGCACAAACTTAGAGACAAGAGAAATCTTGCTAGGTGTGTGACAATGTTTACACTGACTGGATCACAGTAATTTGGCAGGGATCTAAATCTGTCTGAACTTTTACCTCTGTCGCATGTATGTGTAAGGAGAGTCCTGCTTACTGCAGCCTGGGGAAATGGTGGTGGTCAGGAGGATGTCTCAGCTGGTACAGACTGAGAGCAAGTTGCTGCTATTTTCTAACCTTACATCTGTCAATTAAAACCTGTTTGTGCCCAGGCTGCCTGCCTCTCCCTAACCCCCTGCTTGCTGTAATACTGAGGCTATCTTTAGTTGGATATGATATAATAGAGGATGTGCTGAACAGCTTGGACTTCAGACCTCATTTGTTTAACCTACTAGGATTCGAAAAAATGCAACCTTTGGCAAAAAGTCAAGAATTCTTTATTTTGAAAATAACTATCTTCATGAGGGTTGAATAATGCTTTCTGTAGTTGCCTGTGGCATGGCTTTTCAAATGTATGCAAAGGGGCTTGTTTAGAGAGTTGTGAACAGGCAGCTGTGGTCCTTATGTGTCCTGGGGCTTTGTGTGTGCACGACCTTCACTCTAGGCAACCCTCTGCATGAGGGAGAGGTGGGAGAGTGGAAGTCAAATCCGTCCTGTGTATGCTACTTTGAAATGCTGTAAATCCAGAGCTTAGGTCAATCCTGGTTCAGCGATGAAATAAAACTGGCCGCGGCTGCTCATGCTGCTACAGAAACTGTCCTGTTCATTCAGTTCTGTCATAACTGCATGATGACATGGCTTCACTTGGCTCCCTTAAACTAGAAGGTACAAATATCTTTAACAAATGTCATGTTCAGAAAGTTAGACAGTTAAGTGTTTTATTGGAGATCAATTTGTTATTTGGTAAACTTGTCAATGAGTAGCCAGAACCCTGTCTGGAGAAGAAAGCATTCTTATCTTTTCCTGCACTCCAGTTTCTTGTCTTGTCTCTGCCTGAACTATCACCCAGTACAAATAAGAGGCTTTGTAGAGATTAGGCTTCTACTTTCTTCTGTCCTGTAATAAGATTATTCATCCAGAAACTCTCTGGAGGCCTTCAAAGGGATGTCTGAAGGAGGTTAGTGACTCCTGTGCAAGATGTTTTTACCTTGCTAACACAGTTTTACTGCATACCAACTTATGCATTGAATGTGATCTTTTTATTTGAAAAAAAAGGGAGGTAAAAAAAAGATATGAATGCCTTCAAGCAAGACAGCTACTGCAGGAAGGTGAGAAAGACAGCTTGCCAGCCCTGCCCCTTGCCCTCGTGGCAAGGCAGAGTGCTGCTGCTGGCTCTGAACTGAGCCTGCCGCACTCGATAACCTGTTTGTTAACTGAACTCTGAATCTGGCTTCATCTGCTCTTTGCACACTTAGTCCAGCCGCGGACTGAGTCATGAGCAGGACAGAATTGTTAGCATGTGGCATTACTCACAGGCAGCATTAATCATAACCAGACGCTAGCAGGCTGGCTTCTGGAGAGCCTGGAGGGGTCTGCCATGTCTGCATACTGCAGAAAGCGTGCTCTCCCTGAACACGTGTGCTGTGTCAGGTTATGCATTCCAAAAATGAGGGAACAAATCAAAGGGGTAATGATCTCTGCCACAAACAGCACAAACACTGCAACTGTAAAATGAGAGGTGCTTTTGAAGTGTGTGGCCTAAATAAGGCCAGTTTGCAAAATAATGGGCAAAGTAGTGAAATACTTTTGCAGCTTCAGTTACTTAAAGCAGAATTACTGAATTACCAACTAGTTGAATTGTAGGTTTTTTCTGTTCTGTGCACTTGCGCATGACAGATTAAAAATGAAGACGAGGTAGTTCGCCAGCATGTTCAAATGTTTTAGATGGTTTAAACTTTGGGTGACACGAGAAATTCCACAAGTCTCCATGGGAGCTGTGGTATCTGAATTAGACTGCATGACTTTGCTGGTATCAGGAGAAAAAAAACTTCGATTTTGAACATAATCCTGCACTGTGTGTCCCACCTCATAGTGAAGGCAGTACACGGAAACAGCTGACAGCTCAGGTTTTGTATTTAATGTGAAGGAAGCTGTTGACCAAAACTGTAAGCTGTAGGTGCTGCTGGGTGTTAATGTTTTGTTTTGTTTTTTAAATGTTCATCTCTTAGCGATGTTGTGACTTTAATGTTTTCATATTCTGGAGGCTGCGTTATCCTGGAAGCAGGGATTTTGTCCAGATGTTCTCTCATTTTCTTGCTTCAGGACGACACAGAAGAAAATGTGTGATTTAGTTCAGAAGGAAGGATAGGAGCTGAAAAGCTTAAAATTCCAAATTGAAAACATGTAACTTGATTTTAAAAAGAACTGAAGAAAAATGAAAGAATGTCATGCTACAGCAACTGTTCAAACAGAACAGTCTAAGCAAGCACATGTGTGGGAATTTGGAGCATTTCTCCGTAGTTTGTCTGATGGTTTGTGCGACAGCATTGGAGAACAGAACTTGACTTTTAACTTCAGGAGTGGAAATACTTATTTGGTATGTAACTTGGGCTTATGTGTTTATGGGAGTACACAAATAACCTTTGTTCTCCAGTGTTTACAGTAACTTAACATTGTCTTTCTTGGGCTCCTTGCAGGAGCAGCATTCACCTTCCATGCCTGTGGCAGTCAAGCTTTTAAAGGTTATTTAAATAAAAGGAATGAGTCTATGATACCCTATTGACTTATATGCTTCCATAATTGGTAACAGCTTCATTAAGCTAGTCCCTGCTTAAAGCCTTTTATGGCAAACTGTAATGAATCCATGTTTTGTTACCACTTTTAAATTGTCAATTTGCTCATGTGCAAAATCTCTACTTGCTGCTGTGATTATCTGGCATTAAAAGAGAAGCAAGGGCAGTGCCTACTGCAAATCACTGTGGCCCCTGCCATTGAGAAAGGAGGTTTGCTCATCTGTAGAGTAAGGAGAAGAATGCGTTAATTCCGTTTCATGAAACACTTACCTAACAAGTTCTGAAAGAATGGTAATATAATAGAAATGTGTGGGTTTTGAATATCTTTAGGAAATGTTAAATAGTTTATATAACCTCCCTATTTAAATAAGCAGTAGTGTGTATCACTTAGAATTCCTACAGTATAGGGATCGCTGCTGCATTTTTATCTGGATGCTATGTTGCCATGTACCTGTGAAAAAGCTGTTGTGGCTAGCTGGACCAGTTTAAGGCCTGAGTTTTCAGCCTACTTCCAGGGTAGACTTAAGATTTCTTCTAGTTTCTAACTCATTGGTATATGGAATGAGTGAAATAACAGAAAAAAAAAATCTGCTTGCAGACTGTCAGACCAGGAAGTCATGGTGGAGAATGTATTTTGAGATTCATTTGGCAGAGCTAGGTGGGTCAGTTTGGGTCTGGACAGAGCCATTACCTCTGGGATGCTATCGCCAACAACAGCTTTGTGTGGAAACTAGAGGGAGTTTGAGCCGCAACAGTACGTGGGAACCCAGTGACCTAATAACAGATGCTGCATCCCAAGTTGTCTGTCAT